GTGTTGGGGCTCACCAGCCAGGGCTGGGATGAGTCCCCTGAGCCCCCAAAATTCCTCTGGGGAATCCCTTCCGGTGGATTTAGGGACCCCTTTTCCATGGGATCCTTTGGGAACACTCCCTGGTGTTAGGGCTCACCGGGGTCCCGGGGCTGCCAGAGCTCCAAGAGGGTTTGGAGAATGCCCTGAGGGACAGGGGGGATTGTTGGGATGTTCTGGAGCTCCAGGAGGGTTTGGAGAAGGCTCTGGGGGACAGGGGGGATTGCTGGGGTGTCCTGGACAGACAGGAGGGATCATTGGGGTGTCCTGGAGCTCCAGGAGGGTTTGGAGAATGCCCTGAGGGACTGGGGGGATTGTTGGGGTGTCCTGGAGCTCCAGGAGGGTTTGGAGAAGGCTCGGAGGGACAGGAGGGATTGTTGGGGTGTCCTGGGCTTGGACTGGATGGCCCTGGTGGGGTCTCCCAGCTCGGGACATCCCGGGATTTCCATGGGCAAGGAGCACCTTTGGAGGCCGAGCTGGGGGGGTTCGGGGGAATGAGCTCAGAGGGGTCCAGGCCAAGGTGCTGCCTCTTCCTCCTCTTCCTCCTCCTCTTCCTCCTCTTCTTCCTCCTCCTCTTCCTCTTCTTCGTCTTCCTCTTCTTCTTCCTCTTCTTTCTCCTCCTCCTCCTTCTCTTCCTTCTCCTCCTTCTTCTCCTTCTCCTCCTTCTCCTTCTCCTCCTTCTCCTTTTCCTCCTCTTTTTCTTCCTCCTCCCGCTCCTCCTCCTCCTCTTCCTCCTCCTCCTCTTTTTCTTCCTCCTCCTCTTCTTTTTCTTCCTCCTCCTCCTCCTCCTCCTTTTCTTCCTCTTTTTCTTCTTTCTCCTCCCCCTCCTCTTCCTCCTCCTCTTTTTCTTCCTCCTCCTCCTCCTCCTCTTTTTCTTCCCTCTCCTCTTCCTTCTCCTCCTCCTCCTCTTTTTCTTCCTCCTCCTCCTGGTGCTCCCCAGAGCACAAACCCTCGGGAAGCTGCTCCTCCAGAGGAGCCCAAACCCCTCAGCACGTCCAGGGCAGACCCAGCACCAACGAGGGGCTCTGAGCCGAGGGGATGGACGGCAGAGGGGGGGTGGGAATGCTGGGGCGCTGGGTGGGAGTTCAGACCCCCGGAGCAGAGCCGGGTCCCATCCTGCTCCCAGGAGGAGCACAGGCAGCCCTCGGGATGCTCCTCATCACTCCCACCCCACCCCCGGGAGGGTCTCTCCAGACCCCCCTAGTTTGGCTCACGCTGCTCTCCCGTCCCTCCCGCAGCTCTTCTGGGTGGTTGGGAGC